ATATACAGGGTGGTTCAGTTTTTAATCGGGAAACTTTACTAGGACGTAGTACTTGCCAAAATAACACAAGTTTTTTATATAAACATAGGGTCGCAACTCTTTTGTTTTCGAGCTATGAGCGATCAAAGTTGAGCTAAAAATTTACATTTTATTATTTATTTCGGCTATAAGTAAACCGAAGAATTTGAAATTTGGTATGTATTTACTACTGGTTAACATCTTGTTTTCTAGCATACCTTAAGCTTCCCTAGCGCCCTCTAAGGGGATGAAATTCACCACCCCCTTGGTTCTTTTTAGAAGAACTTTTTAACGCCATGGAGTATTAACATAAAAAAATATTGGTTATAAAGCTCATTCTTTAATGGTACTTTTTTGTCTCTTTAGTTTTTTTCCTAAAATTGATAGTTTTTGTGTAAAAAAATGGAATGTCGTGCCATGTACCGCCATGCTTAGCTAAAATTACTCTAAAAGTTGGCTTTGATTTTCAAAAAACAATTTATGTTTGTATTGAGACGAGCTGTTAGTTACGTTAAATCCTCTTAATTGTTGACAATTATTGAAAATATTTCTTGATTGTTATTAAGTAAAAGTATCATTATTTTTTTATTGTTGATCATTGTTTAAAAAACTAGGAAAAATTGATCATGCCACGATTATTTTCGACAGAAGAATACGCAGACATTCATTTTATTTATGGTTTTTGTGATGGAAATGCGGAAGCGGCATCTAGAGAATACGCTAGAAGGTTTCCTAATAGAAGATGTCCTGATCCTCAGGTATTTATCAATACACATCAACGTTTTCGACAATATGGTTTAAATACCCAGCAAGTACGAAATAATCAAAATAACAGAAACCAAAGAGCAATTTTAAACCTTTTTGATAATGACAGCACATTAAGCAGTCGCATAGCTGCTAGACTACTTCAAGCTCAAAATTTACGAGTCTCAAGAAGTACAATTTTACGAACTCTGAAGAAGGACCACAGGAAACCCTATCGTTTTCAACCTGTACAAAATTTAAGACCTGAAGATGGTCCTAAAAGAGTAACTTTCTGTAGGTGGTTTGTACAGTCTGTTGAACGTGACCAAAATTTTTGTAAGAAGATTTTGTGGACAGATGAAGCCACGTTTACAAGAAGGGGTGTCGTAAATTACCATAACTTACATAGTTGGGAGCATGAAAATCCCCATGCAATACGTCCAAAAACCTACCAAACAGAGTTTAGTTTTAATGTGTGGATGGGTGTCATTAATAATAACCTCTGTGGGCCTTATTTTTTGCCACCTCGTTTGAACGCAACGATGTTTTTAAATTTTTTGCAAAACGATTTGGCGGAATGTTTATCGGACGTTCCTCTAGGTGATCTGGAGCAACATTGGCTTCAGATGGATGGGGCACCATCGCATTACAGCGCTAACGTACGTGCATGGTGTAACGCACGTTATGGACATAGACGGATAGGACGACTAGGTCCTGTCAATTATCAAGAGGCAAACCGAGGTCCCGTTGCCTGGCCACCAAGGTCTCCTGATCTTAACGTTTTAGATTTTTTTGTGTGGGGCTATATGAAAAATCTAGTTTACGCCGCTCCAATAAACACTCGGGAAGAACTGTTGGGAAAAATAAAAGACGCTGCTAACACTTTAAGGAACAATCCGTTTCAAATATTAGCAGCAGTTAATTCTGTTGTTACAAGATGCCAAAAATGCATTGATAACAATGGCATGCATTTTGAACAATTTTTAAATTAATTGTGTTTATTTTTGTAATGAGTTTTTTTGATAAATTTGTTTCATTTTGATTCTTAATTAGTTTTCTGTTTGTTTTTTAACATTTTTCTCTTGTAATTTCCATTTTTTTAGTATACTATTTAATTTATTATTAAATGTTACTTATCTTTTGAATGATTATTTTAACTTAAATTTAATTAAATTTTTTATTACTTTAATGAGAAAACAAGTCAAGAGACGAAATCGTAAATAATTTGTGTTATTGTGTTAGCCCAAAATCCTGGTAAGTTTACATCTTCCATAGCCAACTTAAAATTTTGTTTTTTATTTGTAGGTAGCGCTTTGCCGCGCAATGTAACATATTTTATTTTTTTACGCAAAAACTATCAATTTTAAGAGAAAAACTAAAGAGACAAAAAAGAACCACTAAAGAATGAGCTGTACAACCCATATTTTTCTATGTTAATATTGCATTGCGTTAAAAAGTTCTTCTAAAAAGAACCAAGGGGGTGGTGAATTTCATCCCCTTAGAGGGCGCTAGGGAAGCTTAAGGTATGCTAGAAAACAAGATGTTAACCAGTAGTAAATACATACCAAATTTCAAATTCTTCGGTTTACTTATAGCCGAAATAAATAATAAAATGTAAATTTTTAGCTCAACTTTGATCGCTCATAGCTCGAAAACAAAAGAGTTGCGACCCTATGTTTATATAAAAAAATTGTGTTATTTTGGCAAGTACTACGTCCTAGTAAAGTTTCCCGATTAAAAACTGAACCACCCTGTATATGTATTTATTTTTGGTTTTCTAGTAATCAGCTATGCTGTACCCTATATATATATATATGATATGTATATACTTTATATGTATATTTCTTTTTGGGCAAATAAATAAATGAAGGATAAAAAGTCATCTCAATAATAAAACGACAAAAAAAAATAAACAAAATTATATTATTATAAACATTACATACTTTTAAAAATATACAGACTTTTATGCTACACAAAAGAAAAATTAATCTTAGAAATAACAAAAAGATAAACCATAATACTCTTATCTTGTCATCTTTCTCCAATCTTCTTATATCTTTTATTTATTTTTTTAATCAAATTCATAAATTTATAAAGCCATCATCATCATTTTTACGATTAATATTCGTATGTATAGGGACAGGAGATAAATTCCTCCTCCCAGAATTTGGTTCACTCTCAATTGAGCCGTAACTAAACTGTTCTTCACTTTCGTTTTGATACAAACCCCCAGTTGGGGCGCTTGATGATTTCGGTACTAAATTTGAGTACTCATCTTCGCCCCTCGTCATAGTATACATACTTCGTCCTCGTATTCTCCTACTAATCGATGAGCCGACAATCCCTAAATGTTCCTGAATATCTCGATGCACATCAGAGACATCCAACATTGCAAAGAAAGCGGTGCAACACGATTGAGATGATCCAGGTCTTATGTACGGTTTATAAGAGAAGCTATAGTGATGTGCAATGGCTGCCATGCACATTTCGATACATATTATAAAGTTCTATTAAAAGAAATGAAATTATTTTGATTTAGAATAAAATAAATGGATAGGTTACTTGTAATCTTGTTGATATGCTGAGATCATCATCATTGTTTGGTTTATTTGGGGTAATAGCACCAGAATAGACCAAAACGTCTATCAAAACACCTTGGCTGTTAATAATAAAATTATTTTTAATTTTGATTAAATAATTATTTGAGATAACCTACAAAAATGAAAAGAAAACGACAGCTTTGATACATAGAAACTTTGGTAAAGGTCTCATTGGTCTTAACTCCGCAAGACTAGCTTTATAAAACATGACCAGACAATACATAGCGATAAATTGACTTATATTATTAACCCCCACTAAGTAAGGGAAAGCAACGTTTCCTTTAAATTCACCTTCTCCATAAACATCGTTTACTTTGCAGATACTAAAATTAAATTATTAATAAAAAAATTACAAAATAAAAACATTTCTTACAAAGCTATGGCTGTTGTTAATGGCCTAATAACAGTGTATTGTAAAATCCCATGTTTGCAAATGTGCACAAACTCTTTCCCCATTTCCCAATCCGGTAAACAACACAAAGGAAAAATATGTTTCACTTGAGGTTTTAATTCCAAACTCACCTCAAGATTCATCTCCATGTTTAGATAGTTTAAAAGGAATTTCATGAAATTATAAATTACGTAGGCTTCGTAACATTCTCGAGCACAATCAACGTAAATTGCGTAACTTGGGTACGTTAATCCGAGCCACTAAAAAGATTTTTTATTATTTTATTAAGCTTAAATATAAATAAGAAATATTACAGCATTTCCTGCATAAATCGGTACCATCCATAATATTCTACAAAGATAATCACAAAAAAATGATCACTTTTTCTCAAAATTTCGTTACCTGATTATGTGTTTTTGTAATTTTGGCTGTGTGTAATGAATAACGTGCAAAATAATTTCCCATAAAGAAATTGGTATGGCCAAAAGAACAAAAATCCCGGCGATAAGGATCTCTTGGTCCCTCCGATTAAACCCATCCTGAACTGATTTTACCAAGAACAAAGGCACGAATATTAAAGCGGCTAACGCGTATAAAAGAATAAATAGGGGTCTTATCCACAATCTCCATTTAGACAAAAAATTTAGGCAGCCTTCCGGTATCATATCACCCTTTCAAAGTCACATATCAAATCGATTTCCACTTGTAAATGATTTACCAGAAGATAATAATATGAAGGTTGACCAATGACAATAACAAACAACAAATTTGACAGTCAGCTGATTAACTGGATAGATTTTTTTATTATTAAAAAAATAAAGTTAAATTTATAATTAATTTTATAAGTTATAAAGATAATCAAAGGTTTAAATAAAAATAAATCGTATTAATAATTAATTAATTGAAATAAATAAATTTTTAATCAAAAAGTAAATCCCTGTATTACCTACTGAGGCGTTTATCAATAAACAGTTTCAAATACATCTGATTAAATTGAGTTTTTTTATTATTAAAGAACTTCATTTAAAAGTGTAAGTATTAAATAAATATAATTAATTAAAAAAATATCTTTTAAGTAAATAAATTTAAAAAAAAATAAATAAATCCCTGTATTACCGACTTAGGCGTTTGTCAATAAACACTTTGAAATAGGTTATCTTTTATGTCAGAACAAATAATAATTTTTGAAGAACGACCAAGTTCTGCAACAAATGGACTCGCAATGGATATGTTTCATATCGCCGATTGTTGCAGATCATGCCTCCGCATTGAATGTTCCTTAATAGAAACCACATCATCGGATCACGACGGCATAAAATTCAGCGATAAATTAACCGCTTGCGTTGCAGAAGTGGTAAATAATACACTTATCGACTAAATACTCATCTATTTTTATTTTTTTATTTTAGATGTGGCTTAAAGAAGGTCTTCCGTCCTTAATATGTCAAAATTGTATTGAACGTCTCCAAGTGGCTTACGATTTCCGCACGGTTTGCTTACAATCGGATCAAACATTTACAAGATATATTTCGCAAATTTCCCAAAAAGATGACCCCCAAGTTACTGATACATCAAAATTTGAGTTTACAATCACTCAAAACGTAACAGACACTTTACCGTGTATTATCGAGGAGGCTCAAAACCCCGAATATGTTCATTTAAAACATTTTTTGGATAACGATGATCAATTGGTTAAATCAGAACAATTTGGGGAAGGTGTATCTAGGAATTCATCGCCTGGAGATGGAAAAAGTAAAGATTTCGTTTGTCAGATTGAAGTGGAAAAAAATTTTGAGGTGGAAAAAGAAATTCAAGAACAAATAATTCCGGTTGTGCCACAAAAGCAAATTATAAAACGAACAACTGGAGTTCAAGTACGTCCAAGGACCCCCGAAAATTTAAATTCAACCACAAAAAGTTACACTTGTTTAATTTGTGGGAAAAGTTATCGAAAAAATGCGAATCTTCGCATCCACATGAGAACCCACACTGGAGAAAAGCCATTTGAATGTAAATACTGCGAAAAACGTTTTTATCACTCGTCACATTTACGGGAACACATTCGAAGACATACCGGAGAGAAACCGTTTCAATGCGCCGTTTGCGATAAACGATTCACAATTAAAGGTGAATTAACGATGCATATGAAAAGTCATACGGGTGAGAAACCGTTTGGTTGTACGGTTTGTGATCGGAGATGTTTAACAGCTGCCGATTTAAAAGTTCATATGAGAACCCACACAGGGGAACGGCCGTATAATTGCGAGACGTGTGGTAAAAAATTTGCGAGCGCTTACATTTTAAATTCCCATATTAAAACGCACACAGGAGTTCGACCGTATGTTTGTAAAGTTTGTGAAAAAACTTTTACACAATCATCCCATCTAAATGTTCATATGAGAAAACATACCGGTGAGAAAGTATCTTGTAAAATTTGCGACGCAAAGTTTACACATTCCAGTCAATTAACGATACATATGCGTGAACATACTGGGAAACAACCGTATCGATGCACCGTTTGCGAAAAAGTTTGTAATTACTCATCCGAATTGATGGTGCATATGATGAAACATAAAGGGGAAAAATTTACTTGTTTAACATGCACGAAACAGTTTACATCCGCAACTTATTTGATTGAACATCAACGGATGCACACCGGCGAGAATTTATCAACTTGTACAATTTGTGACAGACAATTTACGAGACACCAGTATTTAGAGAAACATATGAGAACCCACACAGGGGAGAAACCGTACTCTTGTTTTACTTGTGGGAAAAGTTTTACGCAAAGTTCTTCTTTGAAAGTACATATGAGGATACATACCGGTGAAAAACCGTATTCTTGTACGATTTGTGATAAGAAGTTTACCACTTCTTCAGACTTATCGGTTCATACCAAAAAACATAACAAAAAATATATCGATTTATAAATAATTTAAGAGAATTATATTTATTAAAATTTGGAATTTAAAGAGGTTAAAAAACGTGATTTTTAGGAATAATAAGATTTATAAATTAAGAAAATTTGTGATCCTCAAAATTTATTAAGGTTTTATTTTTATTTTAATATTAATCGCAGTATTATATCTCTAAATTAATTTATTCATTTTAAGCACGATTTTATAATGTACCAATGTTAAATATCTGTGTAGGTTATAAAATGTTATTTTAATGAGTTTTTAAATCTTAATTTAATTTAAAATAGGTACTCAATTAACTCGTATTAACAATACAGAAAAATAAATACTTTTTAAACTAATTAAAACAATTTATTCAAAATACATACTAGGAATTTCATATAATTCGCAATATGTGAATGCACTAACCATAGTTAGGAAACTACTATACACTTGCACTGTCCCACATAAAATGCAACATTACATTACATAGAATACATATCGGGTAGGCGGACCAACCAACCTTGCACCGCGACCCTAAGGATCTATTGTACCCCGATAGATNACGCAAAGTTCTTCTTTGAAAGTACATATGAGGATACATACCGGTGAAAAACCGTATTCTTGTACGATTTGTGATAAGAAGTTTACCACTTCTTCAGACTTATCGGTTCATACCAAAAAACATAACAAAAAATATATCGATTTATAAATAATTTAAGAGAATTATATTTATTAAAATTTGGAATTTAAAGAGGTTAAAAAACGTGATTTTTAGGAATAATAAGATTTATAAATTAAGAAAATTTGTGATCCTCAAAATTTATTAAGGTTTTATTTTTATTTTAATATTAATCGCAGTATTATATCTCTAAATTAATTTATTCATTTTAAGCACGATTTTATAATGTACCAATGTTAAATATCTGTGTAGGTTATAAAATGTTATTTTAATGAGTTTTTAAATCTTAATTTAATTTAAAATAGGTACTCAATTAACTCGTATTAACAATACAGAAAAATAAATACTTTTTAAACTAATTAAAACAATTTATTCAAAATACATACCAGGAATTTCATATCATTCGCAATATGTGAATGCACTAACCATAGTTAGGAAACTACTATACACTTGTACTGTCCCACATAAAATGCAACATAGCTTAATTAGAAGGCAAAGGAAAAGTTGACGTCCTTATGATAACTTTGAGTTTCCGTCTTAAGAGACGCACAGCTCAACCCGAATGTTTCTGGTTGTAGGTCTATTGTTAGTTCTACTTTTCGTTCAATAAAAATATACCACAATATAACGCTGAATAACAATTAAAACTAGAACTAACCCTAGAACTCTCTCAACATGGCTAAACTGGAATGATTCTAGTTCTAGATCTTGTGTTCGTTCTAGCGATAGTGCTAGTGTAAGGGCCGATTTACATCAGACGAGCGAATGCTCATTCTATCCCCACTCTATCATATTCTTTTAGTGTAAACAGATGTAGAGCATTCTTTCGTTGTTCTGTCTGTGTTCTCAAAGATTCTAGGGAATATTCTAAGGATGTTCGATCGCTTGATGTAAACGACACTAGAGCGTGCGAACAATTGCTTAGAGCCTTCTTGCGTGTTCGGACGTGCTCGCTCATCGGAGCGGTCTCTTCAAAGCGTTCTTGTGTTCTAGCCGAATGAGCATTCTTTCGGCTGATCTAAACATCTATGTGCAAGAATTCTAATTCTTGATTCTCGTTTTTGATCGTTGATATTTTGGTGTAAACGCTAAAAGCGCACTTTTGTTTACACTAAAAGATCAAGAATGGAATAAATGCACCTTAAGACTAGAACTAACGCTAGTACTAAAAAGTATCGGGTTTAGCCGTGCGTCTGCAGACCTGAAACTGACGTATCCTAACATTCTTTTACGCTTTTATTAGGGTTTCTTCATGCGTTAATTGGAGTTTCAAAAGAAAGCTACCTGTCTTAACATTCCTTCACGCTATAATTACGGTTTCAAAACAAAAGTAACCTAACATAACATTCTTTCCCCTGGATGATTAACATTTTCAAAGAAAACTGACCTATCGCAACATTTCTGGGGATGATTGACATTTGTAAACAAAACTAACCTTATCCAACGTTCTATGTGAAACTGGTCATCATATTGCCACAGATATTGCAGTGCTTCGGCCTCAAGCGGCCTTGGCTTTATCAAATAAAACTGCAGATATGAACTGTTGATCAGGTGTAGTGGTAGAACTTTTGACGGATTATGTTGTTTTGAGAGACAACCCAACCCAACCCAAATGTTTCTAGTTCTAGGTATAGTGTTAGTTCAACAGAGTAACAGTGTAAGTGTAAAACTACAACTAACACTAGACCTAGAACGTTAGTTCTAGTTTTACACTTNTTTGTCTAGGATTACTCCTAGATATTTGACTTCCTTTGAGAAAGGAATTTCTTCACCTTGGATAGTTGGGCGGATTAGTCCATCCAACTTTCGCTTCCTGGTGAAGGGCACAACAATTGTCTTTTGCGGGTTTATTGAGAGGTTGGTAATATGAGGTAAAATGCAACATAGCTTAATTAGAAAGCAAAGGAAAAGTTGACGTCCTTATGATAACTTTGGGTTTCCGTCTTAAGAGACGCACAGCTCAACCCGAATGTTTCTGGTTGTAGGTCTATTGTTAGCTCTACTTTTCGTTCAATAAAAATATAGCACAATCTAACGCTGAATAAAAATTAAAACTAGAACTAACCCTAGAACTCTCTCAACATGGCTAAACTGAAATGATTTTAGTTCTAGATCTTGTGTTCGTTCTAGTGATAGTGTAAGACTAGAACTAACGCTAGTACTAAAAAGTATCGGGTTTAGCCGTGCGTCTGCAGACCTGACACTCACGTATCCTAACATTCTTTCACATTCACATGAAGAAACCTTAACACCTTTTATTAAGGTTTCTTCATGCGTTAATTGGAGTTTCAAAAGAAAACTAACCTAACATAACATTCTTTCCCCTGGATGATTAACATTTCCAAAGAAAACTGACCTATCGCAACATTTCTGGGGATGATTGACATTTGTAAACAAAACTAACCTTATCCAACGTTCTATGTGAAACTGGTCATCATATTGCCACAGATATTGCAGTGCTTCGGCCTGAAGCGGCCTTGGCTTTATCAAATAAAACTGCAGATATGAACTGTTGATCAGGTGTTGTGGTAGAACTTTTGACGGATTATGTTGTCTTGAGAGACAACCCAATCCGAATGTTTCTAGTTCTAGGTATAGTGTTAGTTCAACAGAGTAACGGTGCAAGTGTAAAACTAGAACTAACGTTCTAGGTCTAGTGCGTCTAGTGTTAGTTCTAGTTTTACACTTGCACTGTTACTCACTCAAAATATCACTATGTTGCATATTTTTATTGAACTAAAAGCACAATTAACATTAGACCAACAACAAAAATCATTCGGCTTTAGCCGTCTTTAGAGACGTGCAGCTAAACCCAAATGATTCTAGTTCTAGGTATAGTGTTAGTTCAACAGAGTAACAGTGCAAGTGTAAAACTAGAACTCTGTTGAACTAACACTATACCTAGAACTAGAATCATTTGGGTTTAGCTGCACGTCTCTAAAGACGGCTAAAGCCGAATGATTTTTGTTGTTGGTCTAATGTTAATTGTGCTTTTAGTTCAATAAAAATATGCAACATAGTGATATTTTGAGTGATTATGAGTCTGACGAGAGGTACGGCTAAACGGAATGTTTCTAGTTCTAGATTTAGTGTTAGTTCTAATGAGTCTAGTTTTATTTGTTATTAAACGTTAGATTGTTGTATAATAATATGCATTTTATGTGGGACAGATATAAGCCTTGTTTATAGATATCTATAAACAAGGATATAAGCGTAATCAACCCGAACTAAACTATAAAAACTTCAGTAGTGACATCTTTAGTGGTGACGAGTCGCATAAATTCCTCAAAATCCATTACACAGTGAGTATTAAATCGAATTAAAATCTAAAATTGATTCCACACTCAAATATTTTTTTAAATTAATACTTAACAATCATTATTTTCCGAGGTACTTTTAATTATTTTGCAATAATCTGATACGACTTGTTATTATATGAGATTACCCACGTGTCAACTCTAAAATAGTTAAAGTAGATTTCTGTAATCAATAACGTCAAGTTTCTCTAACAAAACAAAGATGTCGCTTTCAATAAATCTTTGTTGTAACTTTTTTAATTTTAATAATTATTCTTTTAAAACACTTATTGTTTTATTTCAGATGTCGGGAAATATAAACTCTCAAGATCAAAATGAGTTTTGGTCCAACCAAGAATATTACGGGCAATTTCAACAAGCAACTCAAGATTCCTACAGCTTTATGCCCGATCAACAAACCCAATTTGTACAAGAATTGTAAATAATTTTTATTAAAAAAAAATCGGTTTGTGGGGCTCTAAACTCCGTTTATCTTTTGTGTCTCGAGAATTGGGGTGGCAGTAACCGTAATTGCTTCACTTCGGGTAACGAACTGGTCGACAGTTGTCGGGAGGGGCCACCACTACGGTACTCACAAGCACGAAACTGGGGACCAAGCTGATTAGCTCCACAGTAATTCAAAGCTACACAACTGGGATGGGATTGAAATTGATTTTTATTTTTTTTTGCCCTTTTTGAATTTTATAGTTTAAACTTAAATGCCAACAACATACATTTAAAAATAAGTTAATTATTATTTTTTAGATCATTTCAAACATTTGAAGCATCCGTCGAACCAACAGGGGGTGCTTACCCTAATGTATATGGAAATAATCCGTATTTAAACCCCCAAGGTGGTTACCAAGCACCGTTTTCCCCTCAAAACGCTCCTGGAGAAAAGTATCAAGGTGAAAATTATGAAGATGAACCTCCTTTACTTGAAGGTAATGTATCTTTGTTTTATTTTTCTCCATTTTTTTTATTGTTTGTGTCAATTTGTGTGATCCTAGTCATGTTTTACGAGCGACCACGTTTGCCAAGTGCAGTTGCGATCGTGAAACGGTCGCTGTTGTTTATTTGCGCGGGATGAGGCCGGTGTTTATCCTGAAATGTGGCCGCGTATATCCTGTTTAAGGACGGGGTGGGCTGTCGTCGCCAGGACGGCCCGGTTATCTTAAAGTTAAATTTTTCAACGCGAAATATGAAGACGTTTTTTCTCCCCTCCAAAGATGTAGATAACGCACGACTTCTTTCTCCATCTTATTTCTTCTTAATATGTTTAAATTGTTTTATAAGAAGTTCCTCAACAAATCTGTTTTGAATCTTTTATATGTACACTCTAAATATTCAAAAAAATACAAATTAATCTTGAATAGTACTCAAGTAGTTAGTCTCAATTTTCACTGGATTTTAATTAATGTTAATAAAATGGTGAATGAAGCTTTCATATAATCCAAACGCGGCGTCTTTATCTTAAGAAATATTTTATGAAATGCTAACGTAGACGCTGTTTTGGATTTTTTGAAAAATTAAAATTGTTTCAAAAAGATTTAAAATTTTATTTCTAACAAAAATTTAAAAATCGATACAAAGAATGTTAAAACCCCTTTTACCAAGTAGAACGTGCAGGATTAAGACGATGCTCGTGGAATTTAAATATTCGTAACACTAAGCGGGAAGACAACGGAGTCTTGTAAAGTGGTGGTATTTTTCCAAGTCGTCGAAACCGCCCCCTAATTGGGGCCCTCCGCGATATAGAAGAAGCGACGTCGACGACGGTCGTCAATCGATCTCCGTCGAAGCCTTCGCCGTTGCAAAATTTGGTTAGCGAACAAACTGCAGTTTCTATGTCCAAATGGAAGTGTCATGTAACTCCGGCGGAATGATTAATTTCTGGGGGAGACTGCTTTTCCCTACTAGTTAAGAAGTACGAGTCGGTGCATTAGGAAATCTGCTCTTATCCTGTTTTCCGCGAGGTCCTCGTCCCCATTCCCCCCATGGATTTACAACTAACAAAACAAACCGTTTAACGTACCAACGTAATCTCCGGCCGGACTGAATTTCTCCGCATCTGTGCGAATGGATGTGAGAGAGTAACTCTCACAGTTCCTGACAGATCCCAGTTTAACAGTTTCTAACTTTTGGATGCTTCTAAACCCCAAGCCGACGATGATAGGGTTAAGTACCTTCCTCAAAAATACTTAACTTTCTAGTATATGCGCTTATACCGTTACATTTTATCGTCTGAAGACGCACAACTTTCTAGTTCTAGGCTAGTGCCAGTTTTAGCTTTGTCATTTGAAACAGCTAGCCAAGAAAGATGGCGCTAGTGCAAAATGGTAATTTAAATTATGCGCATGTATTGAAAGGATAATTAAATGTCTTATTTTCATTGAATTTTTTATTTTTTGTGTTTCAGAACTTGGTGTTAACTTGCATCATATCTGGCAAAAGGTAAGTTTAATTATTTAATATTAATAAAAGAAATAAATGATAAAAAAATACAACCGCCGTCACTGTCAAAGTGGTTAAAAAAAGGGGGGAAGGGTCGGACAAGTGGAACTGCTCCTGCGGTTGCAAAAAAAGCATCGCTCAGACAGCAAGGCCTTCCTATGGCAAACAACGAAATAGCATTAGCCCTGGCCCGGGCCCGAAAGAACCCCTCATTCACCGCAAACTGGGTTGAGTGGAATTTCTGGAAGTAAAACTGTAGAGGCATTTCAATTTTCGCCGGGAAAAGTGCAAATATTTTCTTTAAGAGTACAATGGGTTAAAGGGGTTTTAATGTTATTTTTTATATTTTTCTAAATTTTATATATATATAACATATACCACAAAGTTTTCTTGTGAATATATAATTTGTAAACAACATTAATGTTTGTTGATCCATAATTATTATTATTATTAAAAGGTTTAATGCTGGTAGTGCTGCAGGAATAGTTTAAAGCATAGAACGTTCGTGAGACAGAGGCGTGCGAGCCTGGATAAAGCGAACAGATGAGCAGCGATAAGCCGGGTTGCTTAGATAATGGGTGCGCTGATAGCGCATTATAATTCCGTTGATGTGCCATGTCGTGACGTAATTATCTAGTCTCTCTCTTACTTTGTACTTGTGCCGCTAGAGGGTTGAAACTCGGTTATTAGACGCCCGAGGCTACCTTTTGGGAAAAATTACTACCACCACAATCTACTTGGTAACAAGATGGTATTAATCAAAAGAAGAAATATTTCTTCTTTTTCCAACAAAAAAGATTTAAGTTTAAATTTAGTTTGTTGTGCGACGCTTTAAAAAGAAGGGGAGAGAGAGGGTCGTAGAGAGTTGGGTGGCACTTCTTAAGGACCATCGAATGCGCTCGTTAAATCCCGAGTCCCGGGATGTACTAGGTCCTTCCTTAGAAATTCGCGGGACCCTTTCGGAACCGCGCACGGCTTTCTAAAGTAATTAATTAATGCATAATTAAGGAGTACGCGTGCCGTGGCCGTCACCTTTTCGGCTTTATGTGTCCCCTCGTTTGTGTTCGCCTTCTTAAAGAAAATTTTAATTACACAAAAAACACTATTTCTCCATAAAAAAAATATATTTTACATTTTTTCACCGTACCGGTTTGAAAACGAAATCCGGATTCGCGCTCGCTGAATTGCGACACATGATTGAGGCGTGCAAATATTTTTCCGGATTTATGACGGGTACTACGTAAATTGTAATTCCGTTATGTTTTATAGCGGAATCGCGAGCACTCGTAAATTTACATAGATTTATGCCGGCGCGTTTGTAACTGTGGCCACTGACAATGTTTATATTTACCTTAACTTTTAAGCCGCTACTAACAAACACGCACGGAATATTTGCAGTCATTATTGCAGCGCAATGAATTTTCATATTTCATTTTTCAATATTTCTAATTATTTGAACCTGTTGTACAACAACTCTCCTCTTGCGACAACAATGACGTGAAATGTCCGTTAGTTACGGATAAAACCAACCAGGATATCGATTTTGTCAGATTCAGATAGGCAAATAGGGTTCTGTGATCCTCATCCACAGTTAATTGCGTTTGCACTTGTAGTGTCTACGATGTAATTTCAGCTGTGTTTATTACTGACGAATTGTTTTTATCAAAAACGTATCAAATAATTGGAAATAGTGACGCGAAGTGGGCATTTTAGATTTAACTGTAGGCTTCTTATAACATCTCGTTCAAGTCCAACCCAAATCATAACTTCTATGGTAGCTATTGGTGATGGAGGACTAGCTACTATTTTCAAGGGTTAAAAACTTATGACGGGTGACTAGGTATAATGTATTGATGATATAATTCGCGAAACCGATAGAGGTAATTTAACAGTTCTTTGCCTACTAGATTATTCAAAGGCGTTCGATACGGTCAATCATGAGACAATGGCATCAATTTTGAGGTATTCCGGTTTTGATGATAAGTCTACCCGCTTATTATATGATTTTCTAACACATAGATAACAAGCCGTATTTATGGGTGATGAACAATATGAATATCAATACACTAGTTCGGGCGTTCCTCAGGGTTCTATACTCTCGCCTTTGCTTTATGCTTTATATACATCAAACTTTAACCAAGGGGTTATGCATTGCAAGACCCATTTTTACGCCGACGACACGCAAATGTACTATTCTTTTCCGGCTCATGATATAAAACAGGCTTGTGTGCGAATTAATAGTGATCTAGAATATTTGCGTATCACCTCAAGCCGACATGGACTTAAAATTAATCAGAAAAAATCAAACGTTATTATGTTTGGTCCTCAGAAACAAAAACAAAAAGTCATTAATGACTTACAAATTTGTGTAAATAACGAATTACTACCTATTCAAAAAACAGTAAAAAACTTAGGCATTTTAATCGATGAGGGCCTTACTTTTAATGAACACGTCAATAAATGCGTTCAAAGAGCTTACAGTAGCCTTAGAATTATTTATACTAACAGAGCCTTTGTTAATCATAGTGCAAAAGTGCGCCTATGCGAAAGTTTAGTACTATCAATGTTTAATTATGGCGATGCATTGTATGCACCCTTTCTGTCCTATGCATTGAAGAGGAAAATTCAAAAGGTACAAAACACCTGTATCAGACTAATTTTTGGGTTGAAACGCAGAGATCACGTCAGCTGTAAGCTGTCGGTTTTAAAGTGGTTGAACATGCAGGGGAGAAGAATGTTGCATGCTGTAGGTTTTTACCATAAATTTGTACAAAAGTTGTCTTTTCGGGATGACGTGCACTCGGTTAATGTGAGGTTTAAGGGAAGGCTATCTCCACCAATATTCCACACTATTAGTTTTCAAAAATGCTTCTCATACCAGATATGCAAAGTAATTAATGAGCTCCCTTCTGGTTGCGCATTGACAGAGTGTGGGTCTGCCGCCACCGCCAGGAGGCGCTATGCTGATTTTCTGTTTGGGCAGCAGTGTTCGCAATACCTGTAAATCTCTTAATAGTCACAGATCTTGCTTTTGCGTTTGAATGTTTTTGTAATCTTTTTGTTCTACCTAAATTTGTTCTTAATTTCTGGGGAACCCTTTTGAGTACTGACATGGTATCGATAACGACTTGTTGTGGCCTTTGGTAGTATTCACCTAAGTATTATATGTTAAAACTTAGTAGTTAAAACTATTGTTTTGTTTATAGTTTTATACCGTTGTCGCGATTCTTTTTTTTTTATATTTAACACGCTATACTGTTTTTTTTTCTCTTTATATACTTTATGGTGAGGTGGAAGAACAATATATATTGAATCTCACCATAAGATTGATCAGTTGTTTATTGGAAACCATTTTTAGTTGTTTATTCTGAAGTGTAGTACATTGTGATCAATAAATATTATTATTATTATTATTATTATTATTATGTACAGAAGATTACTTAATGCTAGCAAAAGACTACTGATTTCTTCTTCTGGTAGAGATCTAGATATTGCTGCTGGAAGTCTAGGTGCTGCTAGAGAAGATGATTTGGAAACAGTATTTCCAAAAGCTTAAAATCTGCTGGTAGGACTGGATTTTGCTGCCAAGGGATGAGAAACTAATGGTAGATGTTTAGATACTTTTGGCAGAATGTTATATACCTCAAATATTACAATAAATACTGAGTGAAAAAGATTACCGATTACTGACAGAAGGCTACACATTGGTAATAGAAGTGTAGGCACTGCGTCCAAAAAATTAGAATCTGCCAGCAAAGGAATACTACTCTACAAGGTTTTCCATCTGTCGATTTGTCTCCTTAGGTGTCCAAGTCACCATTCTTATTTTATTAAATGTTAAAAATGGAAGTAACTGGTGTTGAGAAAATCTGTTCGTTTGCGCGCGCATTTTCTCTTACGCTTCGGTGATATTTCACGGCGACAAACAACACTTGCGTCCCCTTTGAAAAATGTTCCCCAGCGTCGTTTATTCCAGCGACAGGCGACGGCATCCTGCAGATTTTCCCCGCCCCCTCCTTGTTTTGCGGCTCGCAAACGGCCCCGCGCCGGTGATGAGCCTGTCTCCGGCTATAAGGGCGCCCCACCGCGGCAAAGGGTCATATTTCAGCGAGAATCCACTCCGGACCGTATGGCTCCCGAGTCTCTTCACGCCCGCCTACAAAGAATCCCGCACTAATTGCGTAGGCATCCGACTTTCTCGTTTCTCGTCCTGAAGAGAAACTATTTCAGTACTATGCACATACGTAATTCCTGCGGTGCGAATTTCTCCGTGTAACTCTTAAAAATAAAAAAGCTGAAATTAAATTTCTTGATGATACTTTAATTCTTTTTGATTACTCGCATTGTAGTCGAAAGTAATTTGTCAAAATCTTCATTTTGAGCCGGGTCTTAACGAAGTCGACCGGATGTAACTCGAAAGACAAACGAAAGGGGACGCTGAACCGACGCCTCCAAACCGGTCGTAGCAAATCCGAAACTTGTGTTTGTTTTGCATATTTTATTAATCCCCGGTTGAAAACGTGACGAGTTTTCTACCTTTTCCTTTTCACGCAAAAGAACATGACGCGAGGGGACGAACTTTCGCCGGAGACATTTTTGACAGATTAGGCTTCTAATCTACAACCCGCGAAGAGGTGATATAAATAACCACGCCATCTGTTCGCGTCGGATTTCAGTCGTCGTAGAATGTAGAGCACGTCGATAAACAACAAAAAGCTCGCGCGCCGGGTGTATCTCTAAGAATCGATGAAATGAGAGAGCTTCGCCCCCCGAGGAATGGGGAGCAATCGATACACGCGGGCCGCCCATCAAACCGAGTGTAGTGGCGCAATAAAACTATAATCAAAGTTTCTGACGAGAGGGGGAAAACGTCATTACGCGTAGCGGAAGGGCGCTCTTTCGCTCACCTGTGCCCCCTCTTTTACTTTTTCTTCTTCTTGTCGTTTTTTTTCACCCTTTCTCATCGTAGATTCGATTTTATTTTATTAACTCCCGTTCGC